GAGGCTCAAAAGAGATGGTTTTCTTATACCCAATCTGTTGAATATGGAACGTGGTGCCCCCGGTGCATTACTGACGGTTGTCTGAGGTATGGCAGTTGTAAATTGCAATTGCTCGCGCAATGATGTATGATGATGATGTCCATGTATTGAACCAGGTGCTATTTAAATATATCAAAATAGAAAAAAGACAAAGAACAAGAAGAAATTTACATACAAAGTTGAAAAAAGTTTATCGGAATTTAATAAAATATTTTTGTTATATTACAATTGTGGCAGAATATTATAAGATATAAAATTTTTATATTAAAAAAAGGTATACAAAATACAAAAGAGAAAGGAAAAAATATTGAGACAAGAAGAGACAAAAAATTAATTGAACAATGCAAGATAAAATAAAATTATTTTTGCAGAAATTATATAAATTAACTATACGAAACATATATAAAACATTTTTTTTAATTAGTTTAAATAATTTTTTAATTAAATTTATTACAATTTACTGATAAACAGAATTTATGGGCTGATAATACAGTAATTCTAATTAGTTCTCAAAAAATCTTGTGTGATAAAAATATTTACTTTATTTATATATGCATATAAATATGTGATAACTATATGCATATAGCATTAACAGTAACGTAGTGGCGACGCCAGACAAGAATACACTAAAAGCGATGGATGCAACATTTTAGGAAGTAGCATGAAATCGGTGAATTCGCAAATTAAATTTTAGCAGTCAGGGTGGTATAAAGCTTTTATAGAACTATAAAATAAAATGAAATTCGAATGATAACCCCTTTAGTATTATAGTTAATATAACCCCATTGGGATCATTTCTGTGGAAAGCTCTATAAGAAGATTTGTGTAATAACAAATGTTCGATTGATTCTTAGATAATCTATAACTATTGGGAGTGAAATTGTTATTGTAAGCTGGAATTGATCAATCATATGTATTATAAATGTGATTATAATTAATTAATTATAGTCACATATATTTGTATATAAATATATGAAAATAATCTATGGCTATTAGGAGTTTTACCTCGTTGCAGTAAGGGCGTTTTTTTTTGTATATATATGAAAATGATCTATAATTCTTGGAAGTAAAGTTATAATTATGAGCTATAATCGATTAATCATATGTATTAGGTTTGATAATTATTGTCACAGTTTTTAAAAGTCGCAAAAACGTCGATCTTTTTTTCGTATATCACTGAATATGTATGAATAGGCAAGCGAGATAAGTTTTTAATATAAGACTGAATATTATGAGCATAGCCAACGGAACTTCATACGCATTGCTTCATGGACCACTCTCATTCTACATATAGTAAATTGAGAGTAGGTTGCTTATGTGACGCTTACCACTATGAAAGCGTGGTAGATAATAAATCCTTAGATTGAGTCGTTGCTGAATTACAGAGTTTAGACAAAAGCTCTGTTCATTTACGAAAGATCAGTTAAATGTTATAAAAGTAGATACATATGATATATAGATACATTGTAGTATGTAGTAAAAGTATAAAAAGATCATATTGATTTTTTAATTAAAAGCTTCCTTAATAATAGTTTTCTTTTTATTTTCAGGGATGACATTTTATCATAATTCTATTCTTTAATTAGTTGGCATATTAACTAATAAAATTACAACAGCGATAAAAGTTATTGTATTTAATTTAAAGTTTTTAAAGAAATGTAGTTCCGTTTGGAAATATAGTTACGCTAGCGATTCTGTAAACTTCCAAGGTTCATTTTATTTATTTATTATAAACTAAAAAATATTTTTTATATAAATGAAAAACTTTTTAAATTCCTTTATAGTAAATAATTAAATAAAATACAAAAAAGTTATAAATAAATAAAATTATAAATAAATAAAAATACTTACGTCTATTGCGATCAGCTTCTTCGGCTAACAGCTTTTCTATTTTCTCCGGAAAATGACGTTTGGCGCACCAAACTAAACCAATAACAGCCAAAACTACAAAAACTGTAATGAGACCTAACCAAAATGGTTCCTGTAACATACGCTCCGAAAGTGGTTTATATGGTATATGCATCATGCGACGTTCGCACTTATGTCCTTCCCACCAAGCATGGCAACTTTTATGTATGCAATGAAATAAAAAAATCAAAAATTATGTTTTCCGATTAGTGTTAACATTTATTGGTATTGTACATATAAAATAAATTTTTTCCTTCATTAATTTACAGCGTAAACCTACCGACAAAAATATCCACCATTTTTTTCAAAACAAATGCCACGTCCTTCGCAAGGATTATCAGCGCAAGGTCTCTGTTTCTGCTCACATGTTGTACCCATATAACCTGGCTGACATTGGCACTAATTTTTTTGTATATAAAAAATAAAAATAAATGAAGTATTTTTATTTTTATTAACAAATCCAATATGTATATACAAAAATTTATTTTTATTTAATGAATAATGTTTATTTACCTTGAAATTTGTAGCAGTTAATTCGCATTTGCCAAAGACACATGGTTCTAGTTCACATAGATTAAGTCCACAAAATCTAGAATAAATTGTATATAAATATAAATATATTTTATAATAAGAATTATTTAAAAAATTTTTTGTCAAAATTTAAATAAATTAATTTTCAAGATGTATTTAGTCTAACGAAACTCAACAATTGAATTGCAGAATGCAATTTAAGTAATCCTATTTAAGCTCAATATCATAACATCAACTATGCTGCTGCGGCTCAAAAAGATTTAGCATTAATTTATTCCTCATTTGATTGCGAGTACTCACTGGGTAACACAGAAATTCCATTCATAATAACTTACCTTCCGGTGTAGTGTCCTTGGCACTGGCAGTAACTGGTACCATTGTTAATCACACATTTTCCGTTGTTCTGACAAGGATTCGGTTGGCATGACTCGACCGCTTTATCCCCAGATGTTAATTTCATTTTGTAATTATTATCTGAAACGTTTAAATTTATAAATTTTGTTATCCTTTCTATGGAGATATTTATTTTTGTTGTTGTTGTAGTCGTAGTTATTGTTATTGTTGTTTTTAATTGAAATAAAGAGGAAGCTTTTTAAAATGGCATACTAACGCTTTTCCCCATCGTTCTCATCGTTCTTCAAAAAATGCGGAAGGATATGACGGAAATTATAAATATGCTTTTACTGAGAGCTTACAGAAAGTGTATGTTTTTTGTTGAATATGCTAATGAATATTTTATAAAATTTAAATAATTTAATTTGATACAAATTTTAAATGTTTTAAATTGTTTAAAAGTTTCAAAGGTGGATAATAAAAGACGGTGTCCTTTAGGATTTTGTAAATTAATTTATAGTCTGTACTAAAGAGGGTAAAATAATTTTAACAAAATATGTTAATAGTATATAACTAAGCATATAGTGTCTAATTAACAAATATTATTAATAAATATTATTATAAATATTATTATATATTGTGCTCAACATATTTGAAATAGCTACTCGGCTCAATTATCAGCTTCTATCTTCTAGTGGTAAAAATCATCTTTAATAACTACTGAACCGCGGCCTCATTGCATAGAGTATAGGGTACCGGCTGAGACGGTTTCACGTAAATAATGGTCGGTTAGAAGTAATCTCGTCGTGAAAGTAATGAACTTTATGATATTGAAAAGGAAAATATATTGGTCATATAATAATAACAAATGGCAACAAGATGTTGACATATATTGTCCGAATAATGACAATATATTACTTAAATGATTTTTTCGAATAGTTTCAGAAGATGTTCACGGAGTGGTAACGTCCATACCACCAATGTCATTCTGGAGGGTACATATATTCTCCGTATAAGGGCAATATAATGCTTTAATAAGTTTTTTGCACAGTGTCAGAAGATGTTGACCCTGTGATAACGTTCATATGACCAATGTCACTTGGAAAGATAAGTAAAGTGCACAAATAAATGCAAATTTACGCATAAATGTATTTTTCGCACTGCGACATAAGATGCGTTTAAACTAATAAGACATTATGGCGTGCGAAATTCATACAAGTTCTAAGAGTCACCAGTAGCGTTGAGAGAAGTAATAGCGTTCAGGAATAAGAACACCTATTTATTAGTTAGTTAATAATGTATTAAATTCTATTAATATAAATATTTAATATTTAAAAATTATATCCTTTTCAATTACTTATTAATTATTTGGGGAAATTATTAAAAAAAAGTTCCAAACGGAGTAGTAAAAAGGAGTAGTAAAAAGGATGACAAACATCGAAGAAAGAAAAATCGACGTTCCTTTTCCTCCCAAATATAGGGTTGTTAATTTACCGGAAACATGGTGAGCTTAATTCAAGTAACGCAGAGTGTTAAACTTAACATTTCTGTTAGAGAATAATTTCTATCAATTTTACCGTCTCGGTAGATAAGGACAGACAAGAATTACTCATTATATGTGTGTGTGTGTGGCTGAGTGAAGTATAGGAGCGAGACACATCTTCTTGAAATACCAGTTTTTTTAACCGAGAAGAGGAATATTGGAAAAACATTTGGAGTAGTAACAATAGTCACAAATCGGCTACGAAAAATATTTGAAATGCTTAAAAAGTGGGAAGTGGTAAGATCTGTGGCACTGAATATAATGGCTAAGCTTGGGGTGGCTAAAAATAGCAGAACAGGGTTTTTAGTTCCGATGCGAACAACTATGAGGTAATAAATTTGACTGACAAACAAACATTAGAGTTAAAATGTTACACATGACCGATCAAA